GAAGTGTGGCAATGGGTAGATACCTTGAACCACAATAAAAAGCTTTAGCTGTTTGATTGACTTGTAGCGTGGAAATAGTAAAGACAATAAATAACAAGGTGTGCACTAGAGAGCCTATATTAGAGCAATATTGAAACGTATCATAAATTTTATGCAACTCAATATAACAAAAGTAGGGAGGATCGCTTCCCTAAACAGCAAAGATGATGGAAGGGAGGTAACCGTAATCTACATATACCTGAAAAACGAAACGTTTTGTTTACTTATGGCTTACAGGGATGTAACTAATTTACTCCATTCATGCAGTTACTAATCCATTCATAATTACTTTTGTCTCGCCTTCTGTTACATACCTGAATACGATTCCATATAAACTGACATCGTAAAAGAAGTAGTAGTAGTAGTCACATCATAATTGTTCCATTACAAACGACTCGACTTCCTTATCCAGAAATGTTGTCTTGCATATTGTCCATTCATTTTTATCCTTTTTTCATGACCGTCTTGATACACCACCGAATTCATGTGTCAAAAACGTAACTTCGTTTTACTCCTTCACTAATACTTATAATATTTCAGAAGGGTTTGTATTTGTGTTTAATAAGAGCTTCTTAACTTTGTTATCTCATAGCATTATCAAGAAGCACAAAGCATTTTGTTAAAGTTGACGTTTTAGATTAAGAATTAACCATATAAACAGCTATGGACTTTACTTGCATTAATTCTAAATGTTTGTCTCAACGCAACCTATATAAAACTTGCCAACTTTTAAACCATGCATTCTGGTCATACTAGCATTGGTCATGTTCTTATGTACGCAAATTAAAGCCCAAACAATTTATCACATTGTCGCCGACTTATTTTTTCCAGTATGTATAAAGGACGACAATACCAGGTATGAACATATAATGGGACTATATGGACTGACTAAGAGAAAGGAGTGAAAATGTGAAGAACTTTGCAAATCTAAGTGCATTCAACAAAATTGTTATAGATGACAAAATACTTCCACACAAACGTATATGCAAAGTTACACTGGCGTCACTGGATCATACTACAGAGAATCAAATCGACCATATCTGTATCGTTCCACCACCTGGTGGTTGCCAAGATGAAATTGAAGCTAAATAAACACTAGAAAACCGGTGGAACGTTGTCACAAAGGTTCAGAACAGCCCTTTTTCTACTCACTGACGAGCTCAACGAATTCAAGACAACTTTCATGAACAGGTTTTAGGCCTGACGGGATCTACTCAAAGAAGAAACCACTATGGAGGACAATTGAAAAGGAATCAATGAGGCACTAACTTAAACGTATCAGGAGGTTCCGTTTACCAAGAAGCATCACAAGAAATGGATCTCTATGGAAATCCTGGACAAGACTTAAAAAGGAACGAAGGAGAAGACAGCAACCAACAACTACCGAACCAGAACTGAGAAAGTCAAGTTACAAGCTGAATACACAAAAGCAAACAAACAAATGACGAAAAGCACTATAACTCACAAATATGTGGAAAAGCTAGCAACGATAGCGGAAGAAGCTGCAAGAGAAGGGAATATGAAACAGCTATATGACACAACGAAAACACCACCAGGGAATTCGGAAGACCAAACAGTTCGGCCGAGGACAAAGAGGGCTAGCCAATCACTGAGATTCAAGAACAGAGGAACAAATTGGTAGAATAGTTCTAGGAACTCTTGAATAGACTAGCTCCACTGAACCTACCAGACACCAAAGCAGCACCTACAGACCTTCCGATTTGACAGACATCCAGCTTCTAGATCATCTGGTTGGATTCTCTTTCTTCTCGTGGTCGACTGGATCATGAAGACATACACATATCAAAGGAAACATGAAATACAATAGACAGATTGGGCAATTTGAACTTCTCACATGACATAAACCTTCTACTCAATACACACAAACAATTGCAGATAAGAAAACCAATGCAGCGGCAACCTCTGCATCAGTATGCTTCAACATACGCAAGAGAAAAACAAGATCCTCAAATGAGGCACAGAGAACACCAACACAATTGCACTTGATAGAGAAGCTGTGGAAGATGTGAGCCTTTCATGAGCGTGTAAAGCATCGTCGATGGACAAAGGTCCCATGCAGATGTGAATGCAAGAATTGGCAAAACGATAACGGGATTCTGACAATTGAACAACACGTGGAAATCGAAACAACTGTCCGCAAACCAACATCGAAGCCAGAATCCTCGATACGATCAACAAGACATTTCTACAGTACGAGGCTGGATTTTGGAGAACTTTTATAACGTTGTCGAAAAAGTACAAGTATAAGATACTAAATGTTCATTGACCGAATATCTTCATCACCAGCTTGCTGTGGAAGAGAACAAACGAACTTCGAGATGAAGAGAAAATTAGGAAAAGACGATGGGAGTGGATAAGACATACGTTACGGAAAACATCAAACTGCATCACGAGGCAAGCGCTAACTTGGAATTCTAGGGAAAAATGGTAGAGAGGAAGACGCAAGAATATATGGCGCTAGAAATTGAGGGCAGACATGAAAAGGATCGCCCAGGTTAGATTTGGTTGGAGAATACATGAGTGCAGCCTATGTTCTTCCATGAGAGTTGACAGGAATAAGGAAGCAATTTAGAGCATAGTCAGAGTCCAGGGAAGTGCTCCAGAGCGAGTTGTACGCAACAAAAACAGGGAGGCTGAACATAACGTGATCACTTTGAGACGATGACTGCACCGTTAGTTAGTGATAGCCAGGAACAAGTTGCAGTCTGCGCAGTTTCAGTAGACGGTCGCAACTACTTGATCTACCACTAGCAAGTTCTTGTTTGCTGCCGGTACGACTCCTCCTTGTGCCACGTTGCCCAGTTTGTAGGTTTATCATGGTGGTAGGTACCCTCTATTCTATTGATAGAATAAAAGAAATTAGTAGTGGATAGGTTCTTATTTTTCTCATGGGTGGCACACAGTCGTGCGCGTGGCTGCCTGTTCAAATACACAAAGATTTTGACATTCAATATAAGAAAATAAGAAATATAATTCTACACAAAATAAGGAAGTGAACAAATACTCGGGCTCTGTTGTTTCGATATATATTTAGATGTGTGGAAGTATGTTCTAAGTTCGTAGTTAGTGCTGCTATGATGATAAACTTAATCCTAAAATTGTCGATTTGTCGTGATATGTCTATATAATCTGTGGGATATTACATGTTAGTCTCATCATTGACAAACCTGACTCATATCGTAGGAATTAGCAGTATGACGTCTGGCGCTCTTGGAGAATACATTCAGGCCAAAGATAGAATAATGTATTCCATATGAGTAAAGACAATTTTCAAAGAATGATCACGTCTGCGAGGCTGAGCCATGCCATCTGACTAGATGAATGAATAACCCTGAGTTCACCACTGTTGGTCTTCTCTCCGTGTTGAATGTTGAATATCTATTTTCCCAGTTACCTCATATTCAGCTTTGTGGATTGTGTGGTTTAGGCTAATACCACTACAAATGTTTAAGGTCAACTCTTAACTAATCAACCCAAAGTTGTTACAGGTTTTCATTGTCTGTCGAATTACTGGTAGTAAAAATCATCCTTAGTTGCATCTGAACTACAATCTGTCAATGGGTAAGCGGGAATAACGTCAAGACATCGTTTCTCGCACCGTTTTCCTTCTACCTGGGTTGAGCTTTCTAATCTAGCAACGGTCCGTGACAGTTAGCTGGGGGTGAAGTCCCTTAGAGCTCTTGAAGCTCTAACACTTACTGCTACGCCAACTCCAGAGAAACCAGATAAAGATGTCATTACGTACGGGGATAAATGTACGCGAATGAAGCCCTTAGCTGCGGTAGATGGAGAGAAAGTATTTGGCACTTCATTAGAGTTTTGAATACGAGTCTTAGATGGACAACAGATATTGATGTTGAGATATAGATTATCTTCTCCTTGTTCGATCTACACTGGTGTGCAAACATCGAATTAAGCCTGTTAGAATAGGATATGTGGTTTCGTTTACTCCGGTTCACAGTCTGTGTTCGTTCGTAACACGCAATTAATGACCAGTAGGTTACTTGACATCATTTCAATAGGACAGGATTTCCACCATAGGTGACCTGCTACATGAGTTGAAAAATAGAGGCATACACAAATGATAAATAAATGGAACAGATGAATGATCCTATGTAAAATATAAAATAATTTTTACCAAATATTTATAAATACAGTTTGTGACAGTGTAAATTAAAACAAGAGTATATTTCCAGTTCTGGTTAGATAATTGCATATCGGCTTAGATACTACCCGAGTGTCCAAGCAGAAGCAGATGGTTTTGTTAGGAGGCAAATACCGGAGTCTTCCATCAAGAGCCATATTGCAAAATGTAATGGAACAACGTTAAGTGATGAGGTCACCTGGTAGCCGGTGGTCAAGAATAAATTCATATGCCATCCGTTCCCTGAGGATCCCGGAGGCCATCTGGATTGCTTATTCGGTACAACGAGTTTTAGGTTTAACTAGGTGAATCATCCGTACCATGTCTCGGTATCATCAATATGTTTAACGACTAACATAAGTCTTCTGAGTTATTGTATGTTTAACGTCAAGGATCGTGCCGCTATGGTCCAAAGTCTTTATAAATTCATCGACAAGCATTTACCAATGAAGTTCACTAGTTTAGACTGGGGGAAGAAAGACGACTCCAAATTACAAATTTTGTTGTTCACGGAGAGCTAAAATTAGTAATATACACAAGTCCATTATAATAAATTTTCTATTCTCATATCGATGTTTTGAACATATTGATATTATCCTTTGTTAGTTTAACAAGCCACTGCTTACGCGAATGCAAACTGGTTGTTCAAAATCATGAAATAAATTTTCGTCTGTGTACAGAAAAATGTTTACTGTTACTGAACAAAAATGGAACGCTTTATACCAGATGTACGTGCTGCGGTGGACTGAGAAATCCCATCTAGTCTGGGAAGCTATCTTAGTGGTATTTGGGTACGATGGATCTGTTGCTTTTACATTCTTGGCCAGCAAAGTTTGAAAATCTTAATAATGACAAGAGTAGGCATTGGGGTGCGACGCTTACTAGCCACTCAGTACTAGCATCTCTCCCGTGATAATCGAGGGATCTCTGTGAGAACTGCCGATCACAACTCGGGGCATTCACATGAGACATGTGTCTTGCTCTGGATGGTTTGGTTCATAGTCTCACATTCGTCTACTTATGCCTCATACCACAGTCCCTATTTTTCCCAAATTTCAGAAGATGCCGTGTTTAATTGGCTGGTATTGGGTTTAGTGTAACACAAAGTTTTAAAGAGATGAACTTGGAAACTGTTAATTAGGTCAAAAAATAAAAGTACTAGAATGAACAAGTTTGATATCTATCAAGAGTTTCTCAGTAGAGTGACCTAACTCCACACATAAACAGACCCAATCACCTCTGCCCGTTTTATCAAGATAATACGCTGTTAGACAGTCAAGGATTAACAATTTGATATCAAAATGCTAAATAATAGAGGGTCAGTTGGAGTATATGCTTCAAATACAAACTGGCAACAGTGGAAAAACCAGAACACATAGTACAGGGTCTGCAGGTTTACAAGAAATCTTTAATACGTAGTGTGACAAATGAACTATTCTGCAACAGTCATTAACTGAACATTCATTAGCTGGAACTTTAGAACGATCAAACAGTTCATTATGCACTTAATTTTGAGTGTCACGATTATATTTCACATAACCGTTGTATGAATACTTTCCTCAAATCTGTAGTTTTGGATTAAATTTCCCAGTATGCGAATACGAAAATTTCTAAACTCCAAAAAATCCCTAGCTGTCAGATGAATATTTATACGAACCTACCTAAATATAGAGCCATCTACTGTTTATTTGTTTGAACCTATTGGTGTGCTTTTCAAATGTTCTATACGTCTTCGCGGTATGAGCTCGAAATTGGACGATTGTAATGATTATTTTTTTAGAACTTGATACGCAATTCATAGATACATCGTTCATGAAAACTTCGAAATTTTCGGAAACGGTTCCGCAGCCTGAGAGGTAAAACATGTCTCACAGTTTGCCATAAACATGATATTTTCCTTAGGATAAAAAGCGATGTGATTTATTGTCGTATATGCTTGGGGTCCAGTGACTTTGAGGAACTGATAAGCCCTTGCTATTGTGCAGGTAATAAAATAAATATCTTTTCTTCATTTCACGAAGGTAATAGGAACAATTGGAATTGTTCATCAACAGTGTTTAGAGAAGTGGTTAAACTTGTCCCGATCGAAAGCCTGTGAAATTTGCGGTTTCACTTTTGAAGTTTTAAAACATTATCCTCACTTTTGTAAGGTCCGTTTCTTATTTAACTATGCCGATGAATTTTCACTTACAATGTGTTTATTTCATAGAATACAATATATTTCCACAGTCCAAGTGTACCATATATTCGGCTTACTATTTCTATTTAAAACACTAAAAGGCAATATTTGACATGCAAGAAGGGTGAAGTCTGGTTGTTAGATGGGTTTCATATGTTTTTACAGTTGAGAAGCGTCGGATATTACTTCACTTACTAGTTCTAAGAATTCAGTCCATAAACTCTGCTGCTAAAGCAGTCATTACTGTCCGGTTTGTCGGTACTACCGAAAAACCGGTCTTGTATAATCAACATATAGCTCAGATGACCTGATATACGTTGTGAACTCCCTTTTAACTCGTGAGAAATATGTTTTATTTAAGTGGATATTAGTATTGTTTGCTTGCAAAAATTATTCCTGGGCACATTTGTATCACCAGTTACGGGTAGAAACCATCACATATAGAGCACTACCTTATTACTCGGTGAATCACAAGATGTTTTTCCATCTTGAAAACAGCTCTTTTTCACGGACCTCGAAAACCGAATCATAATACAGTTTGGTCTTTAGTTTTTATTTGAAGGTGTCCATTTTATTATTTTAGTAAGAGTGATTTTGTTTAAAATGCAATCTATCAACTGCACCATTGATGCTATTAATGAAAATTCGGTAATGCATTTATTAAAACTGACATTCACAGATTGATCCTCAAGGTACTGTAGTAGATACGGATAGACCACTATGTGAAGAATAAAACAGTTAAATGTACTTTATACAAATTATGAACAGAACGAGTATCGATCTAAAAATCACTCACTACTTATATAACCGCTGCATTATTTTATGATAACTAGAACAAGTATTAAGAGAAGACAGTTAAAAGTCATGGAGCCTTATTCTTGCCTGAGGACAGTTGAACAATATCTGTAGACGTTGTATAGTCAAAATACTCACAATGTTGTGACGTTTGAATGAACTTATGATTCTTTTGTACTTGTTGAATGCTTGATTTCGAATTTTAGATACAGTACATTCGTTTGTGGTTATCTAGTCCTTTTTGATCCGATTACGTTATTTCTGGGATTCTAAGTCCATACTATAATTCAAAAACCCCTAATCATTCTAAATGTACGTGACACAAGTCATTTTTTATTGTTGGTTTGGGACAATTATGTATTCCTTCACACAATGGTGATACATTTTGAAACAAAATTTCCATAATGTAGATACGAAGCCCAATTTGCTTATTCACTTGATATCAAAACATTAGCTGTTTTTTGTTTAACAACGACGTATTATGGTAATTCTACAAGGTAAAACTATCAAATGAAAATGAAGAACTCATCTATGAAAGTTTTCTTCATTATTGTTAGTTCATTTAAAGAACACTAAAAAGATAATTTTCAACTATCTATTTCAACTTTTCGTTTCTTTAAAACCTGGAGAAAGTTGTAAGCATTTTTTTCGGCTTTTAATCTATTAAAGGAAAACATTTAGAGTGACTCAAAAGGGTATTCAATAATCGCTACTTGAAATAGTGGATATTAAGAAGAACCTGAATATAAAGAGCAATTTAGTTGTTATTTGGTCTTAAGATCGTTTTATTTCTGATCCTCAAAGTATTAAGCTAAGTTGCGTTACGAAATGCATTCCTACTCATAGAAGAGAATAAGAAAGTATTATGGCAAAACTCTATTGTTTGTTTTTACATTCTCATATTGAATATTTAAATAGTGTCTTTTTGAATTCTGTGAGCTTGGAAGTTATTAGATATATGGTGGTTGTAATTATAAAGGTACAAGAGTAAATGCCGCTACACAGCCAGGTCAACAACAACGTCTGAACTGTCTATCTAAACAACAAGAGTTAAAGTCTAATGACTGATTTCTGGAGTTAAAGATGTGTTGGTTAATCCTTAGAATAATGAATAAATGGAGTCCATTGTTAACGTAATGTACAAAATGGTCTGTCTATATCAGGTTCATTATGTCTAAGAAATGCTTTAGATAGACCGTTATAATTAACTTTGTGTCTCTCAATTTGTTTGGAAATAAAACTCAGTATTGTCATTGAAAACTAAGCAATACAGATTTTATTCATTTTTGTTAAATTAGTGGTTATGGATGGGAGGGAAAGGAGATGGGATACACCGTCGCAGATATTTATGGACAGATTTAATTTGCCTGCTAATAATGATACCTTTGCTCACATTGTGCGCATGGTTGGCTATTTCTTCAAATCAGGATGAAAAAAATGCTAATTCAAGAAGGTTTCCATGGCAGTCCTTTTTTCTTGGATTATTATGCAGCCTTCTTCTCTTAGTATTTAATATTTGGTTAATGGTGAGTACTGAACTTATCGTGATCAACGAAATTCGAATAACATAAGACAAAGTGGTCTAAACTAATTTGTTTGATCAAAAATATGATTAAAATTTAATGTGCGCTTTGATAGTTATACATAATATACAATACCGCAAAACCACTAAATCAATGTTTTTGAAAGTTTCTCATCTTTTGAAGAACCCCTTTGAAGTCTGTAGAACGTAAAGTCTGTAAAGTTCTTATTGATAGTCTCTAAAAGCTGAAGATAAATCTGTAAGATGCACGAAAGTGTTGTTATGTGTTGCTTTAAAACTTTTTGAAGCTTCGAGGTCATTGTTTCAATGTGTTTTTGGGTTCATAAACCCCAAGTAAGTACTGAATTAATTTGTCCTGAAAAGCAATCAACAGCCAATTTAAAACAATTTTACTGAAAGTCGCTGACTTTTCATACCAGATTTTTGTTGGTTACTAACAAACATGAATTTCATAGTTCATTAGGATATCAGAAAAGGATGAGTAGATTTTTATTCGGCTTAAAAACTGTCAAGGACATGTATAAATTCGTCACAGGTATTAAATACTACCCAAAAATAATTTTAATGATATTTGGAAATAGCTAGAAAAGTCAATATTCAACTCTTCTGTCTTCATAAACCTATCACGTTTAGAAAATAGTCTCAATGATTTCTAATAACCATTTCTGATGTGACTGACTAAACTGCCGTTGGAAACATTCAACAGAAGTTCAAGTTTGTTGAAAGATTTGATCAAAATGAAATAGCTTTTAGGTTGGCTGTCATAGAAATTTATTTCAAAACTGTTCTAACTACGGTTCAAGATAAAAAAACTACTAGCACAAGTTAAGTAACATAAAAGTTTTTTTTGCTCCAACTATTTCTCGAATAATGTATTAAAGGGTTCATCGAATGTTATTTTTCGAACTTTGGGGATTCGTTAGGAAGTCTTTATTCCTTTTCGTGTAATCAAGTGAACACTTGTGTTTTCCATTTATAAATCATTTAGGTATAAGTATGTTCCTGTGCTTTTAATGATATTTTTTAATTGAAGTACTTCCTGTTAACTTCATAAATCATTAAGGTGCATATGTTAAACAAACTTGAATTTCCTAGAAACATACTTTGAAATTTTTTAAGTAGCATTAGTGACTTCTCTTGTGTTTGCCACACATGCTTTATCAACTTGTGAATATTTGTAATTTATTAGGAAACTAAAAAGTTATTTTAATAAAATACCAAATTTCTAGTTTTCTCTTCGATATCATCATCAATCATGGAAACTTTGGCGTAAAGAACAGACTTATATTGTCTTATCAGAAACTGTTAAAAGAAAAAAGGTGATGAACATAAAAGGTGATTCACAAAATCCAAATTTAATTATCCAGAATAATAAACAAGAACAAAATCAACAATTAAAGAGACTAGATATGCCTGAGTCAAATGAAACAAGTATGAAACCAAACAAGGTAAGTCGTATAAAATCAGTTTATTTGAAAATAGCATAAATGGGTATTTTCGATTTTATTTGCTTCTATAAAAACGTTTTTCAGTTTTTACCAGAATCGTTACATTAATTCATACACATAATTAGGTAATTTACTAGATCTTCGAAACATGTCTGTAAGTTCAGTTTTGAGTACTTTTGTGATTAGCTTATGATTAATCATAGTACACTAAACACCCATTAACTATCAGGGATATGACTCATTTTTTCATGAACCCACAGTTGGGTGGTTTGGCGACAGAAAAAATTATACCAGATTTCTTATCTGAATTTGCTAGGCTTGAGGATTTTATTGTGAATAGTTTAGATGTGTTAGTCTATCATTATTCAAGTGAAGCATAAGCCATCTAGTTAAACAACTAGTTCTAGTACTACTCTTTTTTTCTGAAACTCCAATGAAGCTTACTGGTAGAGACGTAGATTACAAAGTGAATTGCATAATGACGGCCTGTACAAAGCTACTAGTATATAGGTCAGTCAAACTTTTACAAAAGCTTGGTAAGCATAAAGAATGATAAAGTTCATTTAAGCGATCAATTACAGTTACGGGTTAATAACTTTTGTGATCTCGATAAAACTTTTATCATTTACTTTACTTATAAGTAAAGTGTCATGGTGCATACAATATGTCCTGTTTATTTCATATCAAGAAATCATCAAATATAGTCTGAAATGACTCTTTATGGTATTTTTATAAAGTTTCATAAATAAGTATCATAGTAGAATTAGTAAAATACTGTTAATGTAACTTAATCATTACATGAAAAATTAGATTAAACAATAATAATTAATCATCGTACACAGAATCTTGATTATAGCTAATTCAATCCGAATGATATTATATTCAATTGAGAGACTGTAGTTAGATCATAATGAAGGGTCGAAAACTAGAACGCAACAACAATCCAAGTGATTTCTTAGTTAATATCAATCGATGATGAATAGTTCAATTTGATTTTCATCAAAAGAATTGTGATCAGATGTAATAAATTCTATTTATTTAAACTGCTATCCTAAAAGCGCATCAAACTGGTACCTTAAAAAACTTATATTTTTAAAGTAACCGGTTCCCTTTCACCATTAAACTATCCAGAGATGATTAAACAAGATAACGAATTCATAATTGACTGAAAAGGAATCGTAAAGTCTGTTATGAAAATCAAATGATTTATAGTTTACAATTAATAGTCTAACTGTTAAATCTTCCTTGAGTGTTTTCTATCCACTGCTTTTTGAGTTTAGCCTAAGGAAAACATAGTAAATACAATTTTATGTTAACAATAATAGTAAAAATTATATGTGTCCAAAATACTCGGTAAACATGAGTCTAAAATAAATACACTAAATTCAGCAAGTGTTGACAGTGTGACCACAAAAAGTATAGGACTCGAATTATTCACTTATCTTACTAAATAAGTGTCATGCAGAGCCGAACATTAAGGCGCAACTAACCATAAATTTAAATTCCTTGACCTTTTACTAATTTCGTTATTTGTTATTATTATTAAGAAAGAAGTTATTTATTTAAACTTTATTGGATTTGAAACGAAACAGTTATATGTTGCTTAATGTACATCATCATAACACTTTGGACTTTGTATGTTACCACAGCAAACGTCTCTGTATTCCTTTTTTAGTAGGTGCTATTTTACTTCCATCCATTAAATCATGTGATTCTCTATGTCTTTATTTAAATAGATTTAACTACTGAAGATTAGTAGAGAAATAAGTCAGGTAAACCGTATTTAATTATAGAATGATGACGACTAAAAGTAAAGTTTCAATCGTATAATGTCAAGAAATTATAAAAGTAAGCCTATATATAGATTTTCTAGATTAATTTGAAACACTCGGCACTTATTAAAATGAGCTTCAATACCACAAACCTAATATTAACCGGTGCATTCTATTTTATCAGCTTAAAGGATTCAACCAAGAAGAAATTTATAGTATCAGATAAATCATCATTCGTTGATAATATTACATGTATAATTAAATATAAATTTGAAAATATGAACATAGCAAGGGATAAAATTTTGTTTTGCATATTGTGGGTATAGAGAATTGTGTTTGATAACACATCCAATAAAAATATTGTAAGCACAATAAAATGATAAGTGTAGTCGAGATATATTTGATCACATTTAATATGAATAAAGATGGTGGATGATGTTATGATATATTTTTACTAAGTTAATTTATGTTAGTCTGACAGTGTCTAATAAGTGTACATTGTTGCGTAATTAAAAATTGGTTAGATAAGTAGGTTTTTACTAACTTAATTTAGAATGTGTAATAGTGATAGCTTCCGTTATCAATCTATCATTTAGCAATTAACTGGATCGGAGTAATGTTTATTAGGCTTCTCTTTTTTCGCATAGTTGAAAAACGGTATTTTTCCTACAATATTAACTAGACTCTTAGAGAGGAAAAATGTATTTGTAAAATCTCAGCGAATGAGTTTTGAAGTAGATCCAACGTTTCGCCTGGGAATCTGGTCAAAGCTTTTTCAAGGAAATATATAAATATATATATTCGATAATTTTGATGTTTGATTATATTTCCTTGAAAAAGCTTGGACGAGATTGCCAAGCGAAACGTATGATTTACTTGAAATTTTTTCGCAGAGATTTTATAAATACATTTTTCCTCTTTAATGTCTCACATTAACTCGGCGCCCAAATACTGTGAAACTATTCGATCAAATTTAGACGAAAGTTCTTATTTAGACTCTTATATAATAAAGTTTTAACAACGTGACCACTGAATGGATGAATTATCAGAAAATTATTTCATATTGATTATCGTTACGTCTTTGGTTAGGGGTCAGTTATTATCAATTGCTTAATACATCTAGTCATTCGCTAAAAGTGGTATTGAATGACAAAACACTATGTCACAAAATGATTAATTTTGGAAATCTGAGCAACTTAATTCCAAATCACTTGTCCAAATGTGATGAGCTCACTTTGAAACTTAATAGTCCCAAGTTAAATACATGGTGGGATTGTGAGCATGCATCGGTGAGCGATCACATACTACAAAATAACAATCCAATGTTCCCTAATTTTCAGTGATCCTTTAACGTTTGTCAGTGTATGATAAAAATCAACTTGTTACAAATTAGAGCTAATGTATTTCCTGTAGAAAACTAATAACAATAAATCTTTCCGTCTCAGGAGTGAAATTAGAGTGGTCTCATATGAATTATATATTACTTTGTTCCCATTGTAGGCACATGCTCCTATTTGTCTAAAGAAGTTTATTATATATCTATAATTTTTCGAGATGCAATCATGAAAACTTTAACTTAATTCGAATACTTGATAAATCATCGTTTTATGAGTTTATCTATTAGCATTTGAAGGTATTGACTACTTTATTCTTTTTTCATACACATAGTTCCCTTTATCATTTTGAAAAGAGCAAGAACAAAGATTCTAGTAGAAAAGCATGAGCCTACAAAATAAAATGAATTCATACTTCATTCTTGATATATTCTGAAAGTAAAGATAGAAAATTACTTTTGTTCCTATCCACTTTAATTATTTTAACATTTATTTGAAAAGTTTAGTTTACATAATTTATACATGTAAGAGCGGGTTTACAACCAGTTTGAATTAAATGACAATTGAATAACTGGACCTTTGATTCTACTTGAAGTGATGTCTATAAATTTCTAACTTTTGGATAAATATATACGAAAATATTTTTTCAAATTTATTTTTGCAAAGTAAACTTCCATTCCTTCAGCTTTAAGTTTGAAGAGTATAATTATTTTGGAGATAACATTGGTATTAATTCACCATTGTTTCATGGATGATCTGTCATGGCTACTACATTACGCTTTAAAGTAATTTTAGTGACTTACAAAAGTAATTTATGTGCTTAGTTCTTTATCGATATTGTGTATAAGGCATTTTTAACACTTTCACATAGTCATTTATAAGGCTTCTACCTAATTTCTTCTAGCACTTAAATTGAAGTGGTTAAAACACACCGACTGCAAATATTTCTCAGAATTTCAAAATTAATTTTTTACACTGTCGTTCAACGTCGTACAGATCGATTGCTCAATTCACTTAATTATGGATTTAGCAAAATTTTGTTCTAATCAAGTCGCTTTATTATTTAAGCCTATAAATGATATTAAATAATTTCGTTATAGATTTACATTTGTACACAGCACAATGTTTTATTATATTTCGTGAACTAATGTTATTACCGTACAGAGTGTTATTAAAGGAAGATTGTAATGATTTTCACCTTTTTATTTCTTGAACAAATAATTTATATTCGTAAACTACGGAACAAACTGGTAGATTAGTGAAAGAACAACTGGTATTTTATTTTTATTTGATGATCATACAAGTATAAGAAAGTATTTGCATACAAACCATTAAAAGACTCATATGTATAAGACAGACTTAAATGCTTTTTATTATTTTCATCAAGTGTTAACATTTATTAAAAAAATTATTGATATTTGCTAGGGTTTTAATTGATGGATACTGGTTCCCAGTCTCATCATTAACATCAACATTGGGGTGTGAATATACTTACAGTTGATGAGTTATAAGTAAAATTAAACAGACACGGGTAACTAGTATCAAAAATATGTAGTCCAACTGACATGATTTTAATATTTTAGAGATATGTGTACGTGTTGTTCATTTGTTTAGTTTAAATATCATCCAAAATGATTTCATTTTTCTGTTTCGTTATATGAAAATTTGACTTACTGATTCGTTGGTATAACGTTTGGACTATTGGATTTTCCTCTCCAATTTTAACTAGATATTAAAAAGTACATCAATTTTACGTTGGCAAAAAGAATAAAGGCACTATATTAGTGTGAAGTAAGAATTATTACAGGTATATGGCATACTATACTGATTATTAGAACGTATGTAAAATAATTCAAGTCCCATATAATCACGACTAAACGTCATTTCTTCTCTTGCGTTTATTATTTACTAGGCTATTTCTTGTCTTATGGTTTCAAAATAGCGCTCCATATAACATACTAATTTAGAGAAATAATTGTATTTAATGTATGTGTTTTAGTAAACAGTTGATAACGGGTACTTGTCACAATTGATTGATCATTGGGTGGTGATCAATGTCATATGTGTCAAGTCTTTATTAGTGCAGATAGAATGCAATCGACCAAGTTGCAATGTGGCCACTAGTCTAGGTGACTCGAAATTGCATGCACCATATTGAGATTAGTTGGTGGTTGGAGGTAGTCAACAGGAAACCTTGGGCCCGGGTTTCGTGCTACTTGGCGCTCGTCACTGGAAACCCGGGTTCAGAGTTTCCTGTTGACTACCTCCAACCACCATCTAACAGGTAGTTGTATCAGAATAATCATATAATCTAATAGCGTAGTTTTTCAGTGTCACGATATTATTAAAAATATACATTTAAAGTATCCACAAATTTCAGTCACTGTCTAAATACAATGAAATAGTAAGGAATAAAATGACAAGGTTTCAAAATTGTGTAATGATTGAGATATAACTATGAACAATGGCCTGTGTTGGGAACACCATATGACAAATAGTATTATTTTACTATGAGCTGTATCAAATGCCTAAATTAATGGGCCATTAGAATCAGATACAATGATCGAACGTCACTTTTTTTCCTATGCAATGGTTTGAAGATTTTTTAACTTTGTATTAAAATCTGGTTGACGATTGAAAGCTAATTAATTATTTTCATACTTTAATATATGTATGTAAATTGTTTTTGTAAAATCTGCAGACCATAGATGATTCTGAACTAGCAATTAATACAATACGGCAACAATGTTTGAACACTGAAAGCTATTCTGGACCTATATGGAATATGAAGTCAGAAATTTGTGATGAAATAACTAATACTGGAGGGAATGATACACCAATGATACATAACAGGTTAAAAACATTATCAGCTGAAGGGGTAACGATCAAGGAAGATAATTATACTGAACATGTTGTGCAGACAGAACCAATGTCATTTAAAAGTTCTTTATCTGTTTTTATAGTACCAACAGAATCCTGTGCAAACGATACGCTAAATGAAGCAACAAACTGACAGGAAGTATATACACATTTGTAAAAAAATTATCTCACAAAAAAGGTGACATTCCTTATTTTTTATCAACTAGATTGTATAGTAATAACAAACACCAAGAAAGACTTTACACTATGTTCAGTCCTATGATTAAGATTTCTGCTTCATTTTTATAACTGAATTTATATTTATTATTTGTGATTCAGATTTCTGTATAAATCTTCTAGATTGATAGCTGTGAGAAAATTTAGTATTTTCCTAATCATTGTACAACTTCACTCTCAATTTAACGAATTTGTTCAATTACTAAAAAAGGTGACCACTAATGGATGATTGATTTTGATTATAACTAAGCGACGATAAGGGAAATTGATAAAGATAAAAGTTAACATTGATTGTGTTGTTGGTCGTATTGTTTTCCGATAAACAAAAGCTTATGTAATGAAAATCCAAATAAAACGTAACCAGTCTTTCAGCCATAAAAACAATTAATTTTGATAGCCAATGTACAACTGAGTAGATGTTATCATCCGGAGATTTTGCAATATTTTCTTTAAATAAAAAAAGTAACAAGCGTAACCTGATTTCTAAATGGTTAGCTAATATCTTACAACCCTATCAAAATCAAATCAATAGATACAACTCTCTTGATTCCTTTACTTTGTCGACTCAATGAACAATATCAATTTAAATGGTAGGCCAATGATCTTATTGGATGTCACTTCTCTTTTTACAAATGTTCCTCTCACAGAAACTATATGTTTTTTGTGTGACTATATTGAAAATAATAATATCCCAAAACATTATCCAAAAGAGCTACTTCTACGATATACTCTCAACGTGCAAATTAGATTTAATGATGATTTTTATAGACAAACAGATGTAGTTGCAATGGATTCTCGATTGGGTCCCCTCTTGGCTGATTGTTTCATGGCCAATCTTGAAAATACGGTACTTTGACCAATAAATGAGGAGTTTCATTTACATAAGAGATATATGGACGATACTTTCATTATTTGTGAAGATATGGACCTCAATACAATTTTAAATGGTTTCAATAATTGTCACCCCTCAATTCAGTTCACTTTGGAAACAGTGGAAAACAAGGAAATTCCTTTTCTTGATGTCCGATTAAAAAAGAGGCCAGATGGTTTTCTACAGAGATCTATATATAGAAGACCGATTTGAAATGGGCAGTACATGAATTTTCATAGCTGGGTCCCACTGAGTAAAAAGAGGAACCTTATTCACTCTTTATCCTCAAGGATCAGAAGAATATGTTCTACTGACACAATTGATGAGGAACTACTCCAACTTCGACAGACTCTAATTAGAAATGGTTATCCACCTAGATTTGGCGATAGTAACTTAATAATTAAACATCATCCGAAAAAAGTACCAGCGGTACAAATGAAAACTGTTTTTGTGAATATGGAATTCAATGGAGATACGGCTGCTGAAATCATAAATAAACGGATTTCAAAATCGTTAAATAAAACATTCGACTCAACTAAGCTCCGAATTATTTTCTCAAGCCGGCCTTCCATTCATGGATGTATTAAGGATAAACTCTCGCTTTGGGCCACATCAATGTGCATCTATAAATTTACGTGCTCATGTGGAGCAGCTTACACTGATCAACTGATAATTATCTGACCCGTAAATTATTTTCATCCTTAGATTCTTTTCTTACTCCTTGATTATTGCGTTACCTCATTTGATAACAAGAGTTCCGAATCACTTTATGATGTAATCTTTTCTATCCTATTATGGACATATATTTTCCATATAACTATAAATACGAATGTACAACTTAAGTAAATTATTTCGTCGAAAAGAAAACTTTCTTCGCTAAATTCTCTTTATTTTTACTCAATAACATGTAAAATTTAAAAAATAACAAGTTTTACTCTTTTATTTAAAAAAATAATGAAATTGTTGGATAGATGAAAAGTTTCAATAGAAGTTAATATATAAACTAATCAAAAGAATTTCTGACACCACAGTTCCCAAATGTTATAAAATCATTTAGGGATTTTCTGTATTTAATTCCATAAAATTCTGCTCTCTTCTTTTCGATTACTTGTTATCGTTGAGTATTTGCAGTGTAACACGGTTATTAATCCAGTGTGCTTTCCTACGAGTACTGCTGAAGTAATAATAATGGACCAATGATGTAAAAGATTTCTATATCATCACTTATTTTAAAACATATAAAGTGGTTTCATTTTACAAATTATAAAGTGTTATGAAGTATGAGAAAAAGATCTGATTCAATAGAAGATCAGGATTTCTAAAGAGTTGTTAAGTAAGAACCCATACTTATGAAAAGATTTTATATTTGTTTCGTTATACAGCAAGTCATTTACAAGATGAATAACTTTGTTAGTTTTTCTAGGGATTAAATACAATCACAAATTAGTTGAAAGGTATCTATGAACGTATAACAGCTTGGATCCATACCTGAGAATCTTATTCATCTAATTTTAGTTTTACTATAGGTTGAAGAAAAGTATCTCGTACTGACGATCATTTCCAAAATTTCGAAATACATTTTTAGAAGCTATCATTTGATCACCTACATTATTAGTGAAAATGACCCGATGAAAAGACAGGGGATATTTCCTTGCTTAATGAGAGAAACCTTTTCATCAAAATAAACACTAAATTGAAATATTAGACAGATGAAGTTTCAGTATGACTTGTTTATTTTTCTATCGACGTTGATCTGTAACGACCTTCTGATTAATTCGATTCTCAAAATATATAGTTGGTTTTCAAAACATTTACTCTGACAATCATAAATGAATAATTGATTCTCTTAACTTCTTATGGTTTGAAGTGCGCCGTATACCTTCTAGAAAGTTGTCTTCTATAACATTTAGGGCTCAAAGTGAGAAGTGTGCCTGTTTTATTTGTTAAATTTAGTCTCACATACAAATATCACGGTGGCAAAGCATTCAAGATAACCTCTTGTCGACTGCTTACTTTGAGGTCACATTAATTTATGAAAATCAGCGTAAATAATTAACAAAGGAGCATTTGAAGTAATTTCTTCATCTGAAGCCGGGTTACTAGGTTTTTCAGATAACCTAAGGTGACGATATATATTTTGATATAACAGAAAGTGCAAAATCTTTTATCTGTTGTAAAAGTAGTTGTTGGTTATTCCAGATAATACTGCTTGCTAGTATACCTTAAGATAACAACACATAAACAAGCAGATAAAAGTGAACAAATTCACTGCACATATTGAGATTTAAGCTATCGATAAAATTCTATTACTTGATCATTCACTAGAGCTATACGATAATTTAATATAAGATCATTCAAAGCGATTATCTTTCGCTTCAATCACTTAGTTATTGGGTCCAAATGGTCTCTGGCTTATATAATGGGGTGAGTTTAAATTCACCTGTATTGGTTGTTTAATTCTTCCAATGGAAGTCAACGCCTATCTGAATTCAGAAGCTAGGTGGATAACACAAAGGCATTTGAAGCTAACAGCATCGGGTTCAAGTCCAAGAGTGACATAAACACCGGGATGGAGGCACATTCATGTGACGAGCCCCAAGTGAGACGAAACGCGTGTCTTAGATTTCCCTGGTAGCTACTACTTATCTCTGTTTAAAATGCTTGTAACTTAATGGTAATATTGAGGCAGTCCACATAGTATACACATATTTCTAAAGAAACTGGTCAATCTCAGTCCTAAATATAAATGGAAAGATCTAAACAACCAATAAAAATGAATAATCACTTTAACCGATGATAAGAGGTACTTGGAATACAAGTCATAAAATATTACCTGCACTTATGTTAGTCAGTCATTGGTTAGTTTTATTGATTTTAGGATTACAAAACATTATTAAATTATCATTTTATCAAAATGAAATTATATACAGTGCATTGTTTGTTCAGTACAAAGTATACTATATCGCCCAATACCACATTCAGGTTCATTTTGTGCAATCGAAACTTATAACAAGAATATTTTGTTTTTGAGACAGCTAGTTTTTTTGATACGTTAAACGTATAGCGCACCAATAATGACCGTCTGTCTTCGCTACACCATGAATTATCCAAAACAGTTTTAATTAATTTAATTTATTGATTGCTTGGTTAACATTTATAATGTCAAGGTAAAAAGTCAGAGTATTTACATTGAAAATTACTAGGGAATAAGATTCATTGCTTATTTATGTAATATCAATTTATGAAGAAAGTTGTACTTATCAAAAACAGTTAGTAGAAACTATCGAATAGGTTAGCTTCATCCATAAAAAATAAATAAATATATTGACCTACCTTTTAAGGTCAAATCGTTGTTGTGGACGAAACCAAAATTTTGCTTCCATTCGTTAAGTAAAAAAGGGATATAAATCACTTTAGAAATAAACGTGCTTTGAGGATAACTTTTTTTTACTAAGACGAGAGGAAGGACTGTTAAAAAATTAGTAAACGTTAGAAAGTTTCGTTTCATTGATATGACTCTCCGACCTTGTGTTGCCACGATCACAACAGATATCACACTTGATCTCCAGACAGTGTGCTATGGAAGGCATCTTTAAATCACTTATTTGGAATCCCCATAAAATCAGGAATATTCTGTGACTCAGTTATTGTTAACAATGACACCTATAACGATTCAGATTTGGCTAAAGTTTACCTCCTGTGGCTTTTTCTTATGTTTCCCAGAGAAAGCAGGCTGTTTTGAGTTAGGTTAATGTATATAAAAAATTAACAATTTCGGATTCTGAGAAAAGACATGTACGTGCCAAAGCAAATACATAGAAGAACCAAGAGAAGAGTACATGTTCACATTTCGAAGCATGTTCCAAGAAATTGAGACTGCGAGGAAAAAGGGCTCTTAAGAATGCAATAGCTCGGCATTTACTTGCCACCGGGCATACCATTGACATTCCTCATGCTTTTACAATTATCAGAAAACAAATAAACATTGTTTCTGTCCGTTTTGCTGAAGCGATCGCGATAAAAACTCAAACATGATCTAAGTATTC